GACTGATCTAGAATATATATTCTTTTTTGGGGACGGAGATATCTACACGGGTATAAAAAAAGCTTTAATATAACATTAAAGCTTTAGGCGAGCTTTAATGTGCTGCATAAACTAACTAAAGCTTCCCATAAAGCTGAAAGCTTCACAGACTTAATTTGTTTTTTAGCAAAGATAGCTATTACGTATAGGGACACGATAAGTGCTTATGCCAAGTGTACTTTGATAGCAACGAAAGACTTGTTTTAAGTCAGTAATATCTTAAAAAAGGGAAAAGTTGAAAGTCTTACGAAATAATTTTCTTACAGCCAGCTGTCGTAGGCTATTATGAAAATTCGCATAGTTTAAGCTAGGAAAATCCAAAATTTTGCGTAATGCAGTTTTCTGCAAGTTTGTCAAATGCGTTAATTAATAAAATGTTCATTTCCGCACCGCACCCCAAATGGCAAACACAGAGCAAAACTTTTGATTTACGGCGAAAACAACAACAAAGCGACGATTAAGCAAGCTAAGCACTTGAAACAACAACAAGACACCAAAAGACAAACAGCAATCAACAAAAACAAATTAAAACTCGTCAAAGATAAACAAAAAATTGAAAGAAAAAAAAAACTGAAGAAAAAATCCCAAACACAGCTCGAAAGATTTGACCAAATTATGCCAAAGTTGGAGCTGGCATTGCAGTTTTATTGTTGTTGTTGTCGTTGTTGCTGTAGTTGTTGTTGTCGTAGTTGTTGTTGTTGTAATTTTAGTTGATGATTTGTGCCAGTGCCACTTGAACTCTGCATCATCTTCAGCTCTATGCGTCTGGGGGACATAAGATTGGCGCCGAAGCTGTTGGCGATTTGTTGGCCCTCGGCAAGTTGTCCAAGTTGTTGTTGTCTGTTTTCTGTTGTCTTGTAATACAGCTTACTTACAAGCATATTATTATTGTTGTCTTGTTGCATCATCTCTCGATTGTGCAATAAATGGATTTAAATTCATATTTTATGATTATGAATACGTACTCCTATCTTGTATACGCCATTGATCTGAGCAGCTGCGACAAAGATTTCGCTTAAGTTTAAAGATTATAATGCACTTAAAATTTTCAATTTCAAGCGTTACTGGAGTGAAAGCAAGAAGGACCTATTGTAAAGGAGGACCTAATGTGAGTTGTTGGAGAAAACTCCAGTTGTCAGTCCATCTATCTTAGCTTTTGATCAAGCATCTGTATACTTTATGAGCTCAGTGTTTGTCTTCAAATTGCATTAAACAAATATATAATACCCTATTCAGACATTTTCAATGGGCATCAAGAAGACGCACGCACATAGATTTAACTTTATTTTATTACAGAACCAAAAGTTTCCCTAATTTAATTACAAAAAAATATTTGTTTTATTCTTTTTTTACAAAAACTCCTTCTATATGTTTCCTAGCTGAGCCAACCCACATAGCAATATGCATTACAAAAGTTTTTGCTGACTCGGCACATAAAATAGCAAAACACACACACAGGCAAACACACACAAACACACCCTTTTACACACAATAAGAAGACAAATTTCTTAGCCATTTCTTCATCTGGTTTTGTCTGCCGCACACGTGCAAAACGAACAATGGAAAGTGGGCGTTGAGGTGGTCGCTGGGGCAGCGTGCGACGTGGCATGAGGAAAAGGAAAAGGCCATAAAGGTACAGGTCCAATTCCGCTCACATTTATTGAATAGAGAAAAAAGCGAAACGTGTTGCAATCAGACGCATAAAACGATAAATGCGCCCATAAAGCGACATATGAAAAATCGAAAGGTGGGCGAGCGGGGGTGCGGGGCCTGGACTGGGTGCAGCAGCAATCTGCATCAGTTGCCGCTGCTGCAGCTGCCTCTAACGCGTGGCAAGCATAATGCTTGCTGCTTGTTGCACAATGCCGCGTGCAAAAATTGGAGCAGAGATCAACGAGCCGCCGCCGCTGCCGAATCGACACCAAAAGGCGAGCAGCTGTGCGGGGCTTTTGCCTCCCGGGCAATGCCGGTGCACTGCCAGTGCTGTTAAGCGAGGGGGGGGGGGGTGTGTGGTTGGGGGAGGGGTTCGCACAGCTGCAACCGGTTATCCCTGCCGCAGTCATAAATGCATACAATGGACCCCGCGGCCATATGTGTCGTTTATTTTTTTTTTTTCGCACATGTTCGATCTAGGTATTTGGAGCACGAGCTTTAAGTTTCAGCACAGTTTGCATTCTCTTCGAAAAAAAAAAATGAAAATTGGCTGTAAATATTTATTAAATAGCCAAAGTAGAACCATTTTTATATGGTTTTTATAGCGAATTGTTGATTTTGTCGAGTAAATATGATAAATACTTAACAAGGGGACTTCGGATGGGAGACAAATAATAATAAAAGCCACTTAAAGCTTTGTTAAAGGCAAAGTTAGATAATTTTGGTAAAGGTACTGCTTTAGTTGACAAATGTTATTGTTGAGGACAGGTATTCCAATCAACGCACAATTTAAGAGAAAACCACGTCTATTCGTTGTTTAAGATTAACATAAAGCTTCTGTTGTCAGCACTTTAATTCAGATATAGAATTTATTAATAAGTGTTATATGTAGGCAATATTTCAATGCAATTGAATGAAGTATCAATTGTGCTAATTAGTTGACTAAATGCCTAGTAGTCAGTTATCACATTAAAAATATATTATTGTTCTATATTTTGTACATTTACTATATTTCTGAGCTTCTCAGAATCATAAGTTAGTTAGTTAAGTACTAAACGAACTTGCAAAAAAATATTTTTAGTTTGTAGAACCAGAATCACAATTAAATTAAACAATGTTGAATTATTGACATTTTTGATATTAATTGATAGAAAGTTGACATTGTAGGCTTTAAATGGCAATCGATAAAGCATATCCCAAACATCTATAAGAAGGTACAGCACTCGACGATCTGACGAGTACAGCTTGAGCTACAGAACTCAACTCTAAATTTTGGAGCTCGAGATACAGAGCTTCAAAGTTCAAACTCTAAACTTTAGTTGGAACTTATCCCCTGCTTTACAGTTGTTCTATTATCTTTAGCTGATTATATCGCAGCCTCTACTATAGTTATTTAATTTCTAATTCTATAATAATGCTTATTTTACAGCTAAATAAAAATATTAAATATATACTTGACAATAGCTTATAATCAATTCGTTTCCTTAACGTGCCAAAAATTACTTAGAAACCTGGCTATGTATTAATCCTGAACAGGTTTTAGGTCTACGATTTATTGCATAACTTCCAGCTAATCGAATACCTACAACAAATTTAAACTGATCTGTTTTGTTAAACTGTTGTAAACATTATTTCAGTTGATGTTTAAAAGTAACTTTTAACCATATTTTCGTATAATTCGTATTTTGTATAAAATTCATATATTTTGACCGCCACAAACTGACCTCAAAGCGCCTCTCTAAATGTTAATTAAATTGCCTGCTATGATTAATTGACAGCAATGTCTATTTTTTATTAGCACTCAACGAGGGGCTAGTTATTTGTGTGCGTTAAAAACCGCAACCGAAATAACTGACCTGTCCTATGAAAATTATATGTGAGCATTTCAATGACAGCGCCGCCAACGCATTGAAAGTGAAAGCTTTTTTTGTGGCAATTCCTTGTTTTTATAAATAAACGAATATTTCTCAAAGCAAAAAAAAGAAACCAAAACCAAAACAAAGAGGCCAAGAAATGTGCATAATTTGTTGTTTACATTTGAAAAGCAACTGCGGCGAGCTGGGAGTCAAGATGTAGAAACAGTCCGATCGCATTACAAACCTCAGATGCCAGCGAAGTGTTGAAGTTGACCACGTTCAGCCAGGCGGGCGGTGACAGCGACTTGACTATTTCCAAAAATAAAAGTCGGTTCAAGTTTAGAGGCGACACGTTGTGATGTAATTTCTAGCCATTTCTTTTGGCCGCCAGTTGAACTTGGCAGCTGGTTTAACTGCAGGCCAGAGTTACGAGTCAACAAAAATTTACATATCAATGGACTCTCAAAGCCCAGCTCTGGCAGTGATATAATCAGTTCACAGTGGCTTAAATGGGTTGTTAATTAATTAAGAGCTGAGCGTCGGCTGCTTGGGTTCAAAGTTGTAAAGTGGCGGCTTTGGTAAGCTCGAACCTACACAATGGACTCAAACAGCTACCAACTGCAACATGTGCGTCGGACCAGATTCGCAGAGACGATCAGTAAAAGAGCAAAAGAATAACACATTAATAGATCTAAAGGGTAGTGTGGTAGCTCGACAGATCTACAAGACAAAGTGCACGTTAGCTGATATGTCTTTTTTTATTTTTATGATCTCTTTGTTGTTTTGTCTTTATTTAGAACTTGTCAATGCTCATGTTAAATTACAAGTTCACATTATTAATACATGTCCCTGACAAACCTCACGTAAAATAGATTCAAAACAATTGCCCAAGTTCCTGGCAAAGTGCCTATTAGATTGTATGTCTTTTTTATTATTTATATTTTGTTGACGTATCTGTGTTTTTTTTTTTTTTATGTTTTCATTCATGCACTTGTCAATGCTCATGTTAAAACATAAAAAGTGAAACTGCATTAATATGCTATTCACTTATTCATGTCCCTGGCAAAGCGCCTGTTACCTGCCTGATAGCTCAACATTTTATGCAATTTTGGCAACGTTTTATACTGACAGGTTGGCAGAGCTAAAGGAGAAATTAACAACTAAATATAACATACGGAGCGCTCACTTAAGTGTCAAGGTGGCAATATTATTTAATTTGCTGCTACATTTTGACATGGATAACAAGAGCATGCCAAGTTTGTTTGACAATATGTTAAAAAACCCAAAGTCCATCAAAAGCTGATAAACTTGCATGTTTGAAAAGTGATCAGCTTGCAACCGCAACATGCATGTCGAACCTAGTTGTAAGTTGGTTGTAAGCTCGCGTCGCATATCTGCGCCCAAAACGCCAAATCTAACTGTTAGTCAAGACGTGAGCGTCTTGTGAAGCGCATGCGCAACGCGTTCAACACTTTCAATTCGATTTTTTTATGCGATCTTCTATGAGATATCGTAAAGTTTGCCATGCCAGCCAAGCGCATTAATGGATTCTATGTGCCGCGACTGAAACGTGTTTGAAATTCGCAAAACCAATTCGACTAAAGAAAGAACTGTGAAAACTGTTTGGGCTCACTAAATAAACAAAAAAAAAGTGTCAACAAATAAAGAAAATAGGTCCAAAAATCAATTCAGCATAAAAAAAAGGTGAATGAATATCCAGAAATGGCAAACTATGTCAAATGCAAAGAAAGTTACAAAGTTAATACCCACACGCGGGTGCTTCAGACTGTCAATGAGCCTTATATATATAGAATATAGCCGAAAGATGACATACGATCATATCTATAGGAACTTCAACAGCTGCGACAACTGGTGGGTTGTCTTCTGCTGACTTTATGCTGGGGCTTGTCTCGAGCACTTTTTTGTCTTTGGCGTGGGCCACACTGCAATTCCAATGTAAAGAAGACTATTTTGGGCTCATTCAATGCTGGTGATGATAATGTTTCTGTAATTGTTGTACGCCCAGGCATGCAAGTCAAAGCAGAGGAATTATTGAGAAGATTTGCGATATGTATTTAGCTGTCTTCTGAGTCATTTCTTCAGACACTTGTCTCTGGGTATTCTTTTGCTGCTTTTTAGGGCGCGGCTAACGCGTGATGCGAATTCGATAAGCAAATATCAAGATTCTTTTCACAGTTATTTGGTTTGTTGAGTTGGGAGATAGTCCAGATAGTTAACAAAACAAAGGTCGGGGCCATAAATTATGAAACAAATGTGCAGATTTTAATATTTATGCTCTTAAAACTATTCGATTTGAAGAAAAATCACGACTTTTTTTCGATTTTGTTTAATGTTCTTTAAGCTCGATAAATAAGTTTAGGAGATCAAAAAAAGTAATCTAAAATAAAAGAAAAGAAAGAAATAAATAAAGAGATGTACGTGCGTTAAGATATTTAAGCATCTTTATTTAAAGATGTCTCAGAGGTCTTTGACATTGATGATACCATATGAAAAGTGGAACGTGATACGCTTAATCTTTGCTAAGATTTAAAGAACGCTTTAGTTAGGATTAAAAGAAAGCTTTATCAAGAATGTAAACTTAACCCTGATCTTAAGGAGCAAGCTGTATATACGTTCATGATTACTTTCTTAAGGAAAGGCATCAAGTATATATATCTTATTGATATGAATATAGAAAATATAGAGCACTTTTATGCATTCAAGATTTAAAGTCGCACATTCTAGACAGCTGAAGATCCAAACCCGGAGATAACCAACTGTCTTCAACTAGTGATGATATCACAGCTAGTTAATACATTTATTTATAAGTAGGAATTTTTGTTTCATTTAAGCTAATCATTTCGCATAACTCACAAGGTCAATAAAACCAGTTTTATTTTGGCTACCAAAAGATTGACGCACTGCCAAAAAATGCCATAAAAAAGAAGATTTCATTCAGTTTAAAAATCGAAAGAATAATCAATCGCAGTCGGATGATTATTAAATATTGAAGCGACGTTAAACAGAATTCATTTGAATATAAAGTAGAAAAAAATATAACGTTGATAAATCAGGAAATATTTTTGTGCTCTGCATATTTAAACTAGTTGAATTACTGAGAGCCATTGTCTGTGGTAAAAACACAATGCAGGCCATTTTTTATGGCTGTTCAAATGAAAACATGAGAACAAATAAGCTGAGGAGCAAATAAAACATGCCTTTACCAGTCGATTTTGTGTATGAAATACAAGTGAATATTTAATTGGGATAATATGGGCTGAAAAAGCTCGGCTGGTGAGTTGTTGAAGTGGATTCTGAAAAGCTGGATTCTTTATGTATAATACATAACATATATGTACGGCTGATGAAAAGGATAAAATTGTAAAATTTTACAATTTGATTTTTTGATCCTTTTATTGATTTATTTCTTTCTGGCTAGTGAACTTAGCCATTCCCACTCAGAAAATTAATCTGATTTAGTTGTGGCATTCAAAAAGTATGCACAACTTTTTTAAAATTTAACTCATTTGGATCGCAAGGCAAACAGCTGTTATTCGATTGACTCAAATCGTTTTTGCTTATCGATAATAATAAATATTCATAGCTCGCAAGTGTCTACTTCGGAGTTTTACATGCACTTGCGTAGTCTTATTTTGCCTCTTATTTAATCAATTTTTCTGTGCAGTTTGCACTTTTATAGCACTTGCAAATGATTACCCAAATTTCATGTGGTTCATCTTAACTACGTTTAAATGGAGCACTTGCTACTTTTACAGCCATTTAAAGTCATAATCGGACTTAAACATCGCTCAAATGTTGCAGCTGCCTGCTTTTTTTAATACCAAATAAAAATCACTTTATGCTTGCATATTAAGCCACCAAATTTGAATATTGATTACCGAGCGTTATTTGAACAAGTAAGTCGTGAGTGCAGGACTAGTAGGTGCCCTAAGCTCTTTTATAAATTTATGCACAAGAAAATAGATTGACACACATACACATATAAATATACATATATACATATGTACATACAAGCACACACAAGAGGGCAGCGGTTGTGCTTCTTCTTTTCTCATTTTCCCTACTCTATAAGAAATGGGATCTCTAATTACTTCGGTGCTTACAGTCCGATTCTTATAAAAGACCCAGGGCCTACATTTTTGGCACACAAATATGTGCATGTACCAGATAGCAAGGTTTAAGCTTTAAGTAGGAATTACTTTTCAAGTTGGGGAGATTGGAGGGATATACTATACTATACTATACTATACATAAAGCTACATACCAAATTTTGTGTTTTTGGCGCTTATAATCTTCGAGCTCTGGTCAAAAATGCATGTCTCAAAATCGATCGATGATTGCGTGAGATCAACTCAGTTTATCTTTCTAATCCAGAATATATATATATATATATATATATATATATTCTTTACTGGTTCACAGGTACTTCTCCCTGTCTGTCACATAAATATGCAAATAACCAGTATACCCTTCAAACCCATGCAGGGTATTAAAACATATCCCTAGTTTAGCTCAACTACTTGCAGTTGTTGCCTGCACTTGCTCTATAATACATAAGGAATGCAAAACAACCTGTACACAATAGAGAACAGAAACAAAAAACAAATAATTATAGCTTGAACTTGACACATTTGGTATGCAAATGGCCAATTGATGGCTTTTAGCAGGGCCAATCAAACAAATGGCCAACTAACCGCAGACCAACAGCACTTTTCTGCATAGATAGCAATTAATTAAACTGCGGTCTGTGTACTTTTGTATATATGGTAGATATATGTGTATCATATATCGTAGCTAATGCTAATCGCATACCAATGCAATTGTCTTGGGCATTTGCTTGTGCCGCGCGGCGTATACGTAATATGCGTTTATGCAACGGCACAGCTGCAAGCTGCAGGGTGTGCGTGTGTGCTTGTGTTTGTGTGTGTGTGTGTGTGTGTGTGTGTGTGTGTGTGTGTGTGTGTGTGTGTGTGTGTGTGTTAGTGCATTCCATGCCTCACTAAGCGTTGCAAAAACTGTAATAAATCAAAAATTGTAACCATCGCTTGATTTATTTGCGTGCATTGATACCTAACATAGAAATAACTCACCATAGTAACAATGGGCATTTGTATACCCTGCACTCATTAAATGGGTAAGTGGGGTATATATTATATATCATTCACAGAAAGGGTTTTTTTGCTCGATAGCTATAGATATATATCGATGTTGCAGCCCGTATCCTGGTGATAGTTAAAACGGGAAACGAAACTAGAAATTCTATGAATAATTAGCACAGTTTGTTCAAAATCGATAAATATCGATCTATAATCTATAAATATCGATTTAAATAATAAACGAAAATTTATAAAAATCGAGTTTTTCGACATTATTTCGAAGACTTTATAGATAGAGATACCCTATTTATACCCTATTTATACATATGTACATATATATTAAGAATATATGACGACAGCTCAGAGCTGAGTACTGGGCATCTCCTAGTCGAGCATACGCAATTGGTGCAATCTTACCGGTTTTGTTATTTATATATCATGCAAATAGTTGCTGCCAGATAGTTCGATTTGCGTGCCAAACCAAAGTCACGCTGCATTGCTTATATTGCAATTTATTTTGTGTATTTTATAAATTTTTGTTGTCGCTAAGAAAACAAAAGAAATGCAAAATAAATCGTTAGGTTTGGGCCACATTGTCACCCAAGCACCTGCTGGGCCTTATTAACTTGTCAAACGACAGAGAGAGAGAGAGAGAGAAAATTAGCGAAAGAGACAGAGAGAGAGGGAGACAGAGAGAGACATGCAACCCATAGAAATGTTAATCGATCGCACAAGAAATTAAAATAAAAACTATGCAAATTAGCAAATTGCAAATGTCTGAACAAAGTTGCACAAGAAAGGGGCGTAAACAAAACGTATTTAAAAAAAAAAAACCCAAATAATCAATAATCAATAAGCAATACCGAATATTCAATATCTTTCACGAATTTTTTAAAATTATTAATGCTAAACAAAAAGCCAAACAACAGACGAACAGCCATCAAATGGTTAGCTTATAATGGATCGCTGCACTTGCTGAGGCAATATATGCGAAATACTATCAATATTTAGATGGGTTGGGCCTAGACTGTCTAATGACAAGTCGAAATATACGCTTAGTCACCTTTTAAAATATTTACACAGTTTGATTAGATGGTTATTATGAAAATAACGTTTTCAGTCATATTTTATTACTTCATGAAAAACTCCTCCGATGCGAGCTGCATTTGGTGTTGGCAGAAGAGGGTGCAGGGTATCCCCTAGTCGGGAACTCGCGAGTAGAGGTTCTTACTTGTTTTATTCTATTAATGCTGTAAGTCTCGATTATTTCAAAGCTATCACTGAATTAAACGTACAATCTTTATTTTATATGTATAGGACACTAGTTTATGCACTTCTTTCAAAATATTCCTATAGCTCGACTACGAATCATCACATGCCTTGCTTAAAAATCATGTCGTAAATAAAAATCTTTTGTTATACTTAAATCATGTTAATTTGTAGGTTGTTGAATAAAATAAATAAATATTTTATATTGGGGGTTTTTTTCTTTAAAAAAGTGTATCTTTTTACACGTAAACTAGTTAAAAGATAAACCTTGAAATAAATATAATTTTCCACATTACAAATTTTCGTTCAGCATAAAAACTTCGATTATATCAATAAGCAATTTATTGCTGAAATGCATGACAAAACTGGTAAAAAAAAAAAAACAGTATAACCGAAATTCTTGTTAGTTTCAATTATGGAGCTGTCACATTATAAAACATATTTTCAACCTGACTAATCAAGAGCCAAACCTAAGCCCCAGTACATCCTCTTCGGGTGGGTGTTTATCAACTATTTGGTTTTCCAACTCAACGGATTGCATTTTCAATTAAATGTATGCCATGCTGTGCTACATTTTAGTGTCAGTTGTAGTTTATTTATTTGCCATATCATATTTGTTCACTGCGGAAGAGTTAACAGATTTTTAATTAAAAACTTTGTGACTCTCTCAGTTAAGCAAATAAGCCAATTATATTTGATGGTCAGTTTATGCAGACAAAACAACAAACTGGTTAAAGTTTGAAAATTTCATTTTGGCAAAATGCAAGAAGAATGCAGACAAAGTATTCGACTGGAAGATACCCTGTAGCTCTAAAGTGTGCCCTTAAAATCCATTGTACGCTTTTTAAGCGAGACCTGTGAATGTTTTGGGAATATTTCGCAAGAACAAGCAGAATATCCGAATATTGTGTCTTTAGATCTATGCAATACTTTAGACAAATTTTCTAGTTGTGTAGTCTCTGTGATCAGATAAATTAGTACGACTTTTGTTTTAGATTTTACCATTAATTAATCAAATTCGACCTGTCTACAGTTGTCTTTAACATAAAATTATGCCACTTTGTAAGGGGCGAAAAATTGGTAAAAAACAACATAAAATTGATGTGAATTTCTATTTTTGGAAAAGTTGTTAATTTAAATAATAGCCAACTAGTTTGACCGCTAATGGGCAAAATATTGGTAATACCAAATGGCATTTGAGTTGAGTGCAAAAATTTATGCAGATGCAAACGTCATTAATTGTAACACCTGCCCGGCGAAGGTGAGCCGGTGGCTTTTACGCGGACTGAAACAAAAAAGTATAAAATAAATACAAAAAAAATAGGTAAACAGTCTGAGCGCTGAACATTTATGAATGTGTGGTCATTGATGTGGCAGCCACAGATGCAACATGCAACCGATTTGTGTTGACAAGATGTTGATGCACAACTGGTTGATGGCTGGCGGAAGAGTTTTTCGAATCGTGCAGTCAACTATTGCATAAGCGAGCCATTGAAAACACAACCAGTTACGCACTCACTCACTCATCCTCCCTCCCTCTCTTTCGCAGTCTCTCTTTTACTTCGCACAGCATGCGTGAACGCAGTCAAACCACACCGCGACGCCGTCGTGTTGGTCCCAAACAGGCGCTGCCCGTGGAGCCCAGCTACAATATGGACAACACGGAGCATATTTATGGCACCACATTGCTGCCATCGCAGCGTCGCTATATGGATCCCTGGGATCTGGAGAACTACGATTATGTGCGCAAGAAAATGGACATAGATGTGGCGGCGAACGTTTTGCCAGACTACGAAACGGCGCTCGACTACGAACAGGCCTCCCATTCGCCCAGTCCGACGGCTGCGCCTGTCTATGGCTATGGCAATGGCTTGGCCATGGCTTCTACCATGCCACGCCCACACACAAGACGCCTCTCGCGCAGCCAATGCCAGCTGGAGTGCTGTCGCCTGCCCAGTCGCAGTCGCAAGGAGCTATTGTATGCCACACGCAGCGAACTGTATGGCGCCCCAGTCGCCAGTCGCTATGATGACTATATGGCCACCATGACGCGACAGCTGCATCTGGACGACGAGGACGGGCAGGAGGAGCTGTATGCCGAACAACGGCAGCTATACAATGGCTATGGAGGTGGGTAAAAAAGGAGATTCGCTTGAAACCACTTTACTCATTAGCCTAAACATATATTCATAAAATAATTATTGTGCCTTAACTGATCTCTCGTTAATCTATTGTCTAGGCTTTTCCAGCGCCAGCTCCACGGAGCAGCACTCTTCCATTGGCGATGAGATGCCCTCGATGACGCTGCCCCGCCGAGCGGCCACCCTACAGCGTCGGCCCATGCCCAGTCAGAGCACGGAGCCGAGCAACAACAACTACAGTGCGGGCTATGGTACGGCGCCGCATCCGCGACGCAGACGCAGTGCTGCCACGCCTGGCAAATCAATGGCCATGTTGCAGACGACGCCACAGATTGACTTCCCCGCACCGCCGCCGCTCTCGCCCGCCTACGACTATTGCAATCCATATGCTACAATGCCGTATTGCAGCCTACCGGATTGCGCCGAGTGCCAACAGCAGGTGACGTCCCTCATCTATGCCGCACCCTCCACACTGTACGGCACCTTGGCGGGCGGACGAACGGCGACCCAGTGCGATTCGCCCAGCGACTCATCGCTCTACGCCGGAATTTATGCGCGTAAATTTGGCTTGAGCAAGAAGGGGGTGCTCCAAATCGACTACTCCTGCAGCTGGAATGACTTGGATCGCGTCATGGGTCGTCAGTACTGAGTATCCACTGTACTGCACTAGATCTTGGGTGTTAGGGTTTAGTCTCTAGTTAAACTATTCTTAGTTAAGAGCGACTCAAAGTCGTCTATACATGAGTTAACGAATTTCATTTGTACTTAACTCATCTCACACACACGCACACACACACAAAACAACCCGTACCAAATAATTTAAATTGTTTTAGTATCGATTTAGTCGCTCTCCAAGTCACGCATTAATCGTGCAAAAAGTCTTCAAGATTTATCGAATAAAGTTGACATTAAAATAAAAACATCAATTAATTATTTATTATTTTAAATTTCTAATATAATAAATGGAGGAAGATATGGCTTTACACTGCTTTTGGGACTCAAAGCTTCATATATAACGAGTCAGTTATTTTTCTGGATCCCGAAAATATGTAACATATATCGTCATTCTCAGGTTTTGAGCCGCAAAAAAGTCTGCAATGATTTTGTGCATGGACTAATTGAAGTTTTGTAAATGTTGGACAAAAGTATGCAGTAAATTCGGTTGTGATAAATATTACAAGCAATTTCAATTTGGAAATAGAAATGAAATGTCATGCCATAAGCAGATCCTTTTCGCCAATTAAGTCATTGATATCCAAGTTTTTCCTTTTATAAATATAACATTTAAATGAAAATACACTAAACCGATCCTCATTGCAAACGTTCTCATTGAGATCCACGCCTTCACCCCTTCACCTAAACGGTGATATAGTCTCTTCTGGCTAGAGTTTGAGCTAGATTTCTGGGCTAAGCCTACCGCTGTGGGATAGCCTGCTCTGGCTTGAGCTCCAGTATGCTCTCCTCACTGCTCAGTAATTGAAACAGAAAGGGATAAAAAGAAGAGATAGATTATCATAGATTAACGCTAAATGATTTGATCGCGACACTTCACTGTGTTTGTCAACAAATTTAGTTCCAGTTCGATTTAAACTACAGTGAAAAATTTATTGTCGTCCGTCGGAAAATGTTTGTTCGCTGACAAGAAGACTCCGCCTATGAAAGGAGCAATGGGTGTGGCCTGCTTTATACTGAAAACTGCCGACCAAAGGGCTGTCCGCCTAATAGAAGTTTCCGACAAAAGAATTTTCGCTCTAGGAGCAAAAGTAATTTTTTTTTGTATAATTTCGTGCCGACATGTATTTTATGTTATTGTTGAGCATTCTCCCAACTGTTTGCTAAAACATTCATACCAATTTTAGACTGATATCCCGCCCACCAAGCTGACATTCCCAAATTGATTGCAGGCATTTGGACTGCATTGGGGAAAACCCACTTTCAAATCTACATATCCATATTGCTCTTTATTTGCCGTTGTATTCCATACAGAACGATTAGTCACAAATGAGCTGGGGTTAAATGGTGCCCGAAATGTTGGGAAATTCATCAAAGTCAGCGCAAAAACATTTTCCATGTTATTTGAAAATTGTCAAACACAATGACGTCGCATGCCATGCGACAGCTTTACCTAATTGGCCACCTCGTGGGCAAAAAAATAAATGAAAAACAGAACTCGATGACGTCATAATTAATTAAAGTGAAACGAACATTTTTACACAACTTTCTTCTAATACCCTAACAAAGTGGACATTTGAGACGCGTTAGACGTTAGCGTTAGCCTGTGCGAACTGTGACTTCTAATACCCTCACAAAAAAGACATAAGAGACAATTGCGACCTCTATTTGTATTGGTATAACCATTTTCGATTAGTCTATAAATATTGTTAAGTTAATATAATGTGTATACAATATTCTGCCCTAAAACAAAGGGCATTAACTTTTCGCTAAACTGTTGTTTGTGAAGCCTGTTATGTTGCAGTGGGCGCATAAATTAGTCAGGAGAACCCTGGGCCCATGAAAGTTGTAATTTGTTAAAAAGCAGCTGCAAATTGGACACATCTGACGAAGTTAATTAGCCGCTACCGGGCGGCAACTGAATTATTCATGGACAGCTTGAAAAGGACGCTAAGTGAATAACTTCAGAATGGCAGATATTTAATTTAATGGCTTTATGACATGAGATAACGAGGAGAAAGCAGCAAAGATATAAGTGTGAAAAGTTACGATTTTCTATGAAAAGCTGCATTCAACTGACTTGTCAAGGTTGCCACTAAAAGGGTGTTGCCCATAGGTTAAACTAAATACTAGACATTTTTTTTTAAGCCAGTTTTTTTTTGCTGGGTTTCTTTCAAAACAAATGGACTTTTTAGTGGCAAGCAAACAAAGAACATCCACTTCAACTTCAAGATATAATCTTTTCTTTTCCAATCTATTATCTGATTATATCTAGGGTCAACCTGCACCTGCTTAAGCCATTTTTGTGAACTGTTTCAGACAGCTTTTCAGCATTGCCTTTGGGTAAACTCATTAAACTTTATGGCTTGAATGTAACTTTGGCTTGATTATCTGCTACATCTGTTAGACAGACAGAAAAATACGCCCACACACATACACACTCAGATGCACGCTCTATTTAGTATATATATATATATATATATATATATATATATATATAAAATCAATAGGACAAATAAGACAAGAAAATTTCAATTGCTGGCGAACTGTTAAACAGTTTCTGGTTCTTTTTCCCTTTCGCTTTTGCAACGCTGTGAATGCGATTTCAATTTCTCAATCCAATTTACCTTTGCCACACTCTATACCAATACTAATACATATACCCTATACCAATACCAATACGTATACCCTATACCAATACCAATACGTATACCCTACACCAATGCAAGCGCAAATACAAATACAAATACAAATACCAATACGAATGAGAAGACAAACACAAAGCGCAAGTAAATCATAAAAAAAATACGCTTACAAAATCTGCATGCATAAAAAGCAAGATTAAAGCAAGTAATAGAACGCGCTTAGAGATACCCTGTATTTATGTAAAATCACATTTGGTGAACTTTTTTTAAGCGTTTATTAGTGGAAAGATTCTAAGCTTAACTTTATTTTTATAGGGTTAACGATAATAACATATAAAAAGAAATTCCAACTATAAAAAGACCCCAGGACGGCCCCAATATATACAGATCCAATGTCAAAGGCAGTCTTTTCGCCTCGATCGTGCATTTCTTGTATTTTGTAGGGTATATAAGCTGTCTATGCATACACTTTATAAGGTCAAAGTTACCTCTTGAACGCTTGAACATTTTTATAAATTTTATTTTTGTAAAAGTTATTTCTGCTAACACATAGAATACCCAATGGATTTAGTGAAATCTGCTTGGATCTCAATCTAACATTTACACAGCGCTATGTTACCCTTTACTAACAAAAGGGTATATATGGTTTGAAAAGAAGTGTACGCAGATTTGCTGGGGGGTAAATGTGGATGGTGCGAGGGTAAGTGGAGGTGATGCCTTCACTTGGAAACTGCACATAAAAGCGCAAATATTTGCGCAACAATTTCAAATATCGTCACAGACGTTGCGATAAAAATCGAACAAGCAAAAGAAATATGCTAAATGAAACGCATAAAAAATATAAGGAATGAGCTAAAAAATAAAGCAAAAATACACCCGAGCAAGAGAAATAAAGAAAGACTAAAATATCTTTTTGCATTCGTTTTATTATTTTTTACTTTGTGCGCCCGGATTTGCTTTTATTATCGCTCAACGTCAAACATTTGCATGCGGCGGCGCCTAAATGTATGCCACAATTTCTGCTCCACTGCTCCTAAGCGAGACGCCCCGCCTCCTCCTTTGCACCGACAACCCATTAGCATTTGCATTTATGTGCGGCGCCAACACGAACCAGACCTATTCCCCCTTCCAAACTTATTCCACATCTCACAACTTTTATGTGGACATGCAAATCGCAGCGTGAACATTTCGCACTTCACTGAATTCTACCGAACGAAAGGTCCTGACGCGCAACGTGTGCGACATATTTGTGTCCCGCCTGCCTTCGAAGAAGGTGTTCAATTTCGACTGCCAACTGGACAAAAACTAAAAACCAATAAAAGTGCCTTTCAGACAATGCATACAACTCAACTCGGCCTTTTAATTTCGGATCTTCTATATTTCCCCATAATAGGACTCTATTGGCGTCTGCATTAGATTGCTTAAAAAATCTTATGCGATTTTAGGAAAATGTGTCAAATGCGCTTTTAGGAATGCCACCAAATACCCCTGTTTGCACATTGTAAGCGGATTTGTCTCTCCTGTATAAAAGCGAACTGGTTTTTCATTTTTCTGGCTATGCTCTTCCTTGTCAAAGAAATTTCACAGAAGAAAATTGTCAATTCCTGTGCGCAAATTGCACTTTAAATAGCGATTGCCGTTTTCGTCGCATTCGCTGGAGATTTAAGAAATTGCATTTTAGTGATGATAAATGGGTAACTAGAGAAGCAGAAAATGCAAATTGCCATAATCTGTTAAGTTATTTATCAAAATATATTTCTTAAGAATGGATGATCTAAAAATAATATAAGTTGGAAATTTTTTTAAAATCAATGATAATAGTAATGGCAATGACAATGACAATGACAATGTTACTGACAATGACACTGACAATGACAATGGCAACGGCAATACAATGATAATGATAATGATAATGATAATGATAATGATAATGATAATGATAATGATAATGATAATGATAATGATAATGATAATGATAATGATAATGATAATGATAATGATAATGATAATGATAATGATAATGATAATGATAATGATAATGATAATGATAATGATAATGATAATGATAATGATAATGATAATGATAATGATAATGATAATGATAATGATAATGATAATGATAATGATAATGATAATGATAATGATAATGATAATGATAATGATAATGATAATGATAATGATAATGATAATGATAATGATAATGATAATGATAATGATAATGATAATGATAATGATAATGACAATGATAATGATAATGGTAATGATAATGATAATGATAATGATAATGATAATGATAATGATAATGATAATGATAATGATAATGATAATGATAATGATAATGATTATGATAATGATAATGATAATGATAATGATAATGTTAATGTTAATGTTAATGTTAATGATAATGATAATGATAATGATAATGATAATGATAATGATAATGATAATGATAATGATAATGATAATGATAATGATAATGATAATGATAATGATAATGATAATGATAATAATAATAATAATAATAATAAAGTTAAAAGTATTAAAGAAATAATAAGTTTAGATAACAAAATTATTTGTAAACTTTCAATT